AGCCTGTGGAGATCGTATGGGATGTCAGTGAGAACTATGTCCATTAGGTACTGTCTGTTCACAAGAAACAAGGATTCAAAGCTCTCAAAGTGGAAACACCTGGTGTCCATATTTACCTTGTAAGTTTCCACCCCCATCCTCAGCTCTGTCCACATCATCTTGAGAGCATTTTCTTTTCTTTGGGTCCAACTGGTGCCTTTTAGCTTCTAGACAGTGGCTCATTTATGTGGACTACATCCTTTATGTGCTGGGATACAAGAGGTTTATTGATCTCACAATAAACTGTTTTGCTTGATTTTCATGCAAACCGCTAGCATCAGGATGTTTTATTTTGTTTTGTTGACAAAGAGAAGAAGGCTTGCATATCATTTGCATCTCAGTAACAGTCAAAGAAGAATTTCTCTTCTTATAGTCACATTGTAAGTTAATAAAAGCAATTATGTGTTGGCTGTACTAACACTTTCTTTCATTTGGTCTTGTTTCCATCTTCATTTCTACATGGACATTTTCTTAGATATTTCAGAACTACTTCTGTAATGATGCAAATATAAGCCTATAATGATGCAAACAGGTTAGCAGGATTGCAGGGACCTCACCAGACCAGGTTTAAAAATTTCCAGTAAGCATGAATTGACCCTGTGCCTGGTTACCAGTCTATATAAATACTTGATGCCTCTCAATATTGTGCGTTCCAGGTCAAGAGTAGCACAAAAGCCCTCGTGAGTGTCCCTAGCACACATCAAAGACATTTCAGATAGTGTTCAACATTTTTTACTTTTTTGCTTGACTGAGGTATTTTTCATGTGTAGTATTTTAATACTTTTCTTCAATTTATCATTAAAGCAACAGTAAAAACTATAACTATAATATAGAAAGGGTATAATTTTATTCAGGGTATTCAAAGTATTTTATGAAGTTGCAGTAAGTATCATGTAGTTGTTTTAATCATAGAAGGGCAGCGAAGCTAAGAGAACTGAGGCCAATAGCCCAGACTCTGGACTTTGTGAAGCTCTGTTTGATTTGCTTTTGGAGATGCTACCCTGCAAACAGACAATTCAAATATGTGATAATAATCCAGTTGTGTGTGGTCATGCTACTGATGTGACCATATGATGGCACAGACAAAATATAATAAATAACAGGTATTTACATATTCTCAAAGTATCTCACTACAAGATACTTATTTATTACAAAGAGAAAATATAGTAACTTACAGTGAGGAAACCTGGCAGACCACCTTAGCCAAGCAATCAAACTTACCACCACCAGTAAGAAGACATACTAACATCATGTGCCTCCTGACAGGCTGCACTAAGGGCACAGCATCACTTCAGGGATATTCTTGCCAAAAATGCATTACCTGAATTTAATTGTGAGGAAAAATCAGAAAAAAAAACAAGTTGAGGTACATTCTAAACAAATGTCTAGTGCTCTTCAAGTGTCAAAGTCATAAACGACGAAGAAAAAGAAACTGTCCCGAATTAAAGAAGACTAAGACAAAATGACAATGCAATGTGTGATCTTATAATATTTCCCAAAAACAGACAGTAGTGGGACAATTAACAAATTTAAATAAGGTTTGTAGATTATAGTGTTGTATCAATGTGAATCTCCTGGTTTTTAATGCACTGCAGTTAAAGACATTAAAGTTTGGGGAAGCTGTGTGAAGGATCTACGGGAAGCCTATGGATTACTTCTGGAACTTGTTTGTTAAGTCTGACATTATTTTACAATTATTTTAAAATGTAAAGTTTAAAACAGTGCAAAAGACCTGTAATGAAGTGTTCTGTTCTTAAAAATCCAACATACTTTCAAAAAACAATGAGGCCTGAGAAGTAGGCAGCCATGCTGAGGGACTTAGACCTTTTATCTTAGGAGCAATGAGAAACCACTAAAGGGTTTTAAGAAGAGATTGTGTATGGGTCAGTTCATCACTGAGGGTCCCAATAGGAAACAGATGGCACACTCGAAATAAGATAATTTGAGGAAGATTTATTTACATGAGACTATAAAAGTATAGGTATAGGGAGCCTCCAATGAGAGCCAACAGGTGGATGGGTAGAATAGGAAAAGGGGACTTAGACTTACAAGGAGTGGGTAGTCAAAGGGAGTGAGGCATAGAAATGGAGAAGAACATTTAAATGGTGGGGGATAATTAGGAACATCAAACATATGAGAGCTGAAATGGTCCTTGGGTATAGTCACTTGGTCAATTTGTGACTTTGGCAAAAACTCTTTCAACAAAACAATGATGGGGGGGGGCGGCTGAGTGGCTCAGTTGGTTAACAGCTCTAGCTCTGAGCAACAGGGTTGCCGGTTCAATTCCCACATGGGCCAGTGAGCTGTGCCTGAATTGAGCTGCTGCTGAGCTGCCAACAGGTGGCAGGATGGCTCAGCTGGTGAGAGCACGTGCTCCTAACAACAAGGTTGCTTGTTTGACTCCCATATGGGATGATGGGCTATGCCCACCCACAACTAAGATTGAACACGGCGCCTTGAGCTGAACGGCCGCAAGCTGCCAACGAGTGGCTGGATGGTGACTGGACTTGGAGCTGAGCTAGCTGTGCCCTCCACAACTAAGAATGAAGGACAACAACCTGGCTGTTCCCCTTCCCCAATTCCCCAATAAAATCTTAAAAAAAAAAAAATGATGTTGGAATGCGGACCACAGTGAGTTAAGTGACAGAATGAGAAAATGGGGACAACTCTTTTGATATATTTGGCTGTGTCAGGAAGGGGAGGGATAGGACACACTTCATTCTATAAGCTTTCCAACTATCCATGTGGAATCCACTGGAACAATGGGAACACCTTTAACAAATTCTCCAAGGCAACGTAATTACAAAGAATGATTCTTTGTTGAGTCTTTGAGCTTATCTACAAAATGACCCTGTTAACAAATCAAAATCAAACAAAACGCTCAACCTTAGTATCTAAAAGGCACCCCTGTTCTCCAAATGCAAACATGATCAAAAATAGGAAGTTTCCTAAGATGAAAGTTGATACAATATTGCCATTTTCATTTCAGAGCAGTCAGACACAATTTAGGGGATACATAATGTGACAACATTTCTAGTGCCTCATGCAAACTTCTAGGTGTAAAATAAAAAAATTAAAGGTAAGTTTTTATGATGTTTTGTCTTCAGGAAAAATATAGAACACAGAAGTATAGCAATGTTTTATATACCTGCATAATGCTAATTTCCTCCCAGAACATAGCAATTTTGAGAAAAATCAAAGCTTCAGTAACAACTGTAATTGCTTTCTGGTCTAGTCTCCTAAACAGCCTAATTTCTAGAATCCTGTTTCTAGAAGGCTCCTCCAGGGTCTATGGGAGTTTTGTCTATAGGTGCTGGCTGCTGGGTCCTATAGTTCCATAGGGAACTTTTGGGAAAAGCTATACCACTTGACTTCTCTGGTTACCTACCATCTGCCTTGCTGTGTGACCCTCCGTGCCATCATTGATTGCTCCAAGTGCTTTCAAGTTTTGTTCTCCTAGTACTCATAGCCCTTTGAGACAACCTTAAATGGTTCAGCAGGTTTTTTTGTTTGTTTTATTTTTGGTTTTTTTTTAGCTGAGCCATCCTGCCACCTGTTGGCAGCTCAGTGGCTGCTCAGCTCGGGCCAGGACTCAAACCGCTGTTGCTCAGAGCTCAAACTCCTGAGCGAGCTCTTAACCAACTGAGACACTCGGCCAGCCCAGTCCAGCAGTTTTTATAATCAGCCCCGCAGAGCAATCTGACTCCCTTCATGAGGTCGAGGTGGTCCAGGTCTTCCCACAGCTGTTCCTCTCAGCCCAAACCAATCCCAGGCAAGTTCACCCTCTTGCTCTCTCCAGCCTTGTTCTTTCTCATTCTAAAACAGGTCTACAATGTCTTTTGTTGCACTATCAGCACTAGAGTCTCCATCATTATTTCTTACAGGAGACTTTCAAGAACCCAGAGTTCCTGAGAGGTTTGTAGATGAAACTACCCATCATAGCCCTATGCGTCAGATTGCAGCTTTTCAAAAGTACGGTAGTTCTCAAAATTAAAATTTTTCAGCTGGGCAATCCTTGCTCTACAAAGATTCTTTTTAAGAAATGTGTAGGTCTTTTGGAGCCTATTTCCCCTGGAATTTGGTTGGAATTGGCCTGAAAGATTAAATTAAGATTATAAACACAGGCACCATATTTTTCTCTCTTCATTCTGTAGGAAGTCAAGTGAAACACAACGTAGCTATTACTGAATCATCTTGAATTTTCAGCACTTAACAATGAATACCTTTAATAACTGAATGTTAGGGCTTTCTCAAATAAATGTACTTTAGGGAACTGCATTTTGTACATGGATCTCAGATTAATCTTCAACACCAACATTTTTCTTTCCAACAGATAGAATGAGGAAGTTTCATTTTGGTAATAAAACTAGCAGACTTTGGATTAAGAAGCAAGCGTCTAAATGGAGGTCAATGGGAGCTCCTAATTTTCCACACCCTAATTAGACATTAGCAACTACACTTAAAACTTCTCTCAATTGTTTAAATTTCAGTTTCCTCCCCTGAAAACACACTGAGAACAAGCACATGATAAGCTAAGAAGGTTGAGATGTGTTTGCCTGAGGGCCCCATCCAACAAACACTGACAAAGTGAAAATGAGCTTAAAAGTGAAACAAAAGTAAAACCAAATGAGCTTAAAAGTGAAACAGGCTAGAAAGTAAAAGCTGAGCTTCTACTTGTGTCACATGCGTTCTATCCATGTTTGTCACAGTTGGTCCACACTCCCTGTGAATGTCCTTCTACAGCACTGGACTTCCAGAAAAAGCCAGAGTCTCACATACTTCAAGAATTATAAAAATATATTTCAAGTCAGTCTCTTTAAGTATAAAAATGTTAGCTGAGAAAGCAAATTTCCATAACTAAATTTTAAAATTGAGTTTAAAAAAAAAAATCTTTTCTACTTAAAAAAAAGATACCATAAAACATGTACGGAACTACATAAAGAAGTATGTCCAACATAATCTGAACTTCTAGATTTTAATGTTTGAATCCAAATCCAGCATATATTTTAATAATCCATTTGCTTTCCATTCAACTAAAATTTAAAGGAAAAATATATTTTATCTTCCCACATATAAGCGGTATAAAACTATATTTGGTTTTCATCAGTCAGAAACATAACTGCCTTTAACTAAAAACCAAATAAAGAAGAACATAGATGATACAGATTCCTTTAGATTAAAACATATTATAACATGTATATATGTGCATACATGTTGGAAAGAAACATATAATCTGTAAGATGAAGTGAAATATGCATACCCTATGGATATAACAAAGGCTGAGGAATATAAACTCCTAGATCACACACTACCTCAACAAAACGTTTTATATCCATAGAATAATCCATCGAAAGTAGCTGTTAGATGGAAAAACAAAAACTTTTATCCAAGGTTTTAACCCTTTTATTGACTTTCTTTTCTGTATGATCCTGTATATCTCAAATGATAAACTGTATATTTTTTGTATTTATAAAGATCGTACTTTCCCACCGTATTACTCCAGTCCTCAGAAACCATTCATTCCTTGGGCTCTTCGCGCACACCTGGGTTGGTGGAGGCTCTAGCTCCGAGCTCTTCTCCTTCCTCCTTTAAAACAAACTGGGCAGGCTCTGGGTCTTGGCGCTTCACAGCATGAGCTGCGTAGTTAAGGCTGGTGTTTTCAATCCAATGCCAGTAACCTGAGAAGGGGTTGTAGAGCATTCCTACCACACTTTGAACTGATAGACCATCTGGAAAAAAATGTATATCAGAAAGAGTAGATTTAATAAATATTTACCTTCCAAGTATGAAGAGTCTCATGCAACTCTCCATGTTAAAAACGGATTCTTAACTCAATGGGCAAAAATACTTTGTAACCATGTACTGGTCATTCTTTACTGTGGCATAGACCATAAACTCTGAACCGTAAAGCTGACTGCTTGGGTTCAAATCCCAGCTCTGGCACCTAGTAGATGACAACCCTGAGCAAGTCACTTAATCCTTTTGAATTTCAGTTTTCTCACATGGACAGAACATATATCACAGAGCTGTTAGGATTAGATAAGACTTGTGTGTAAAGTAGCACAGTGCTTGGAATTTGGTAAGTACTCAATAAACATTAGCTGTTAGAAAACATCTGCCAACAAGTGATTGTTCCTATAAGGCATCTTTAAAATGTTTTTCTACTCTATTTTCAACAAGGTTACTTGCAGAAATCTTTAGAACTTACTACCTTGCACTGGACTAATAATATTCCAATAAAACCAAGTTTATTGATGCATTGTTATCTGAAATAAAACCATGAGACATATATGAGTCGAGGATAAGATTTTAAAAGGAATACCAAATGCAAAATAAATGAACTGACAAATGTTATTACTTGACAGGAATTCAACACATAAATCGAGTGCCCATGACGTGTAAAGCAGAGGTAGGCGATGTAGAGAGTACCAAAAGGAGACAGAATTTTGACTTCAAGGAGCTTACAGGCCAAAAAGGGGCTTACACACGCCAAAATAGCCATAACATAAAGTATGCTATAAGTACCATAAAATACATGAAAAGTGGCAAGGAAGTTCAAAACATGTCTGAGTACAAGGAAAAATAGTATCTAAGATAAGCTGATACAAGGAGGGCCTCAACAGCACAAACTGAGCATGTATAATTAACAGACATTTGTACCTCATCCTTTAAAAAGTGAGGACTAAACAGCCAAAAAGTATTCACTGATCATCTGATTTGCTTGACGCTAGGTTAGGTGCCACAGGTAGAGAACTGGTATCTATCTATGCGTAATGCTTAATCCTAACTTCAAGGAGTTCATGACCTCGCTGAGGAAATGAAACCAATATCCTAACAATAGTGACCTACTGAATTAAGTGTGAGGTTGTGTGATTAATAATTATCAGTACATTAACAGTTCAGCCAGGCCTTGAAAATTGGAAAAATGCTTAATACTTACTTGATTCCAGAATGCTCTCTAAGTTTTCGGGTGAAACAAATTTCTCCCAGGTATGAGTACCTTTTGGTACAATACCTGCAACTTGCTCTGCAAAAACAATTCCCAAGGCATAGGACAGCTGAGTTTTGTTGATTGTAGTAATGAATAAAGAACCACCGGGCTAAAAAAATATATACATAGACGTTTAATTTTAAATGTCAGGAGTAGCATTTCGGTAAAGGCTTGGCTTCCTTCACCCTCCTTCCAAATAATCTAAGTGCAGCTAAGATACATAAGTATGAATAAAATGTAATTTATCAAAATAGTATTTTTTCTCCTGGGAAATTCATTATTAAAGGCAGTCCACTACAGACGCACTCACTGAGTTTATGCAACAGTGCTTACAACTCTTAAAATCACACATTACCGTGGCTTATATTTATACTGTATACATTCTTGTGTACATATCAGATACTTTATAACAGAAATAGAGAAATGAGATCAGGCTGCTCTTCCTGGTACTTGTCCTCATTTAAGCTTTAACATGTATCAACACTGTTTTCTCTTTGGGTGCTGAGCCTATCTAACTTGTTTGGTACAGCGTATAGCTCACATCTTGGGCAGGCGAGCAACGTCAGTAAGCGTTCTTTGACAAAAACATTAATGATTAAGATTTGAAAGTTTTTGTCTTATTTTGATTTCACTAGTATAAAGAAAATGAAGAGACCAAGGTAAGCACTTAGATGAATACAAATCATTTATGGGATTGTTTAGTCTGCCATTTTTTTGCCTGATGGGGTTAAAATGCCAGAGTCCCTCCAAAATAATCACCTTACTATGGGGTGCCAATATATACAGATTTTAAGAGATGTTATCTATATATTACTTTTTGAAGTTGAATTGAATTATGGTAGCAATGTGTAGTATGGTGTTCGTTCAAAAGATGGCATTAATCAAATGAATGCTAGCATCACCATGCGATAGGCAGGACAGTCAAAGAAAATGACGGAGGCATGGTTGTCATTTGAGAAGCACATGAGCATTTTGAAATGGTATTTGAAATTTGAGACCATTGTGGAAGTACAACGACAATGGAAGCGTGAATATGCAACAGAATCTCCAACACGCCTAACAATTGTATGCATTCATGATAAGTCTGAGATGCATGGTACTGTGTGTGATGTACACAAGGGAAGATCCGGGAGGCCTCGCACAGCAACAAGTCCTGCTTCTTCTGCCATGGTGTTAGAACAGTTTACACGCTTGCCACAGAAGTCTACCAAACAATGTTCACCATAATCAGAAGCATCACCACTTTGAGACCTCTTGTAATTGCAGAAGTGAAATGTGACTTGTATTCATCTTTTGTTATTGGTATATATTGAGTATTACAATTTTAATAGCTTTTTCCTTTCTTAAAATGTGTATACATTTTTTAGCACCCTCTGTATATCTCTGTGTGTGTGTGTGTGTGTGTGTGTATGTGTGTGTAGAGAAAGAGAGGGAATATATGTCAAATAACACCCCAAATCAAAAATAAAAAAGAGGAGGCCCTGAAATAATGGAATGTGCACTTAAATGAAATATCAGACATGATTTTATCACACATTCTAACTTTTCTCTGTAAAACTCCAGTATTCTAAAATGTCTTATTAAGAATCACTTATGTGTCAGTTATATCTTAATAGAGCTAGGGGGAAAATCACTAATGAATATCTAATCTGTGCTCTAAAAGATCTTACTCTAAGGAAATAGAGTGGTGAGCAATGGTTATTTATTTTTTTTTTGGCCATTTATTTTTTCTAAAAAATAGGTTTTCCATTAAAGCAAACATTAGTTCTAAATTCCACAACACCTGCATTTCTCATATGTGAAAGAACCTCCCCTCATACATACTGACTAACACACAACACAAAAATAATTAAGGAGCTTTGCTTGGAAAATAGAAGATAAGCCTAATAAAACTCATTTAAGCGGAAACAACAAGAAATAGTAACAGATTGAAGGAGACTAAGGAGACATGGCAACAAAATGCAATGTAGGATTTAGATTGAACCCTGCAACAGAAAAATGACATTAGTAGAAAAACTAATGAACTTTAACAAGGCCTGTAGTGTAATTAATATTATGTCGACGTTAATTTCTTAGTTTTGAGAAATGAGCCACAGGTTATATACAGGGCTAGGACTACAGTGAGGAGAGGGAGGTGCCTAGGGCACAAAACTGAAGGAAGCACTCACTCTCTGGGGTGTGCAAACGCAGGACTGGCACCGAAAAGCAAGTGCCTCCTTCACTTTGGTGCCTTAGATGCCTCACTTGCCTCACCCTAGTCCCTACCCTTCTTATGTAATTTGCTAACAGTAGGGGAAACTGGGTGAACATTCTATACTATTTTTACAACTCTTCTATAAATCTAAAATTATTATTTTTTTAAATCTCTTTTTAAAAAGCTCTATTTAGGTAAGGGCTAAGTATTTTATTCTTTTAGCTCTTGACCTTAGGGTGTTACCTCTTGAATACATAAACAACAGAGTTGATATAGTAATAATAATATTTATTAAAAGAATATTTAGAACCACTTTCAGAAGACTAAGCCTGTGGCAAATTATATAAACATAATAATATAATGGAAAGAACCACACTTGAAATCAAAAGATGTAGATTTAAGTCCCACATAAGTGCCTAGCGACCTCTGATACTTCCCAAATTCTGATCGTCATTGGTCAAGGGAGGTGATAACAATGCCTGCCTTACCTCCCTAACCTGGTTGTAGATAATATTAAGTGAGATCACATGTATGAAGTATTCTTTTATAAGCTGAAAATTGTTATATATAACACTGTATACAGAGATACTTAAATGCTAAGTCAATTTATGCTAATCATGGTTTTTACTGATTTTTAAGTATTAATCAAAACCAACTTCTTATTCATTGTCATTCAATGTCTATTAGGTATTTAATCTAGATGTTACCAGTGTACAAATACCACTACGCCTCTATTGGTTGTATTATAATGTTCAACACCAACACTTGTCAAGCTCCCTGGACACCGAGATCCTGGAGCTGGAAAACCCGGGTCCCTGGGGTCCCTGAGGGCATGCTGAGAGGCAGAAGCAATCTTCAGCAGAGATGCTGTCCCTTCATCCTGGCTGCCTGGTTTCGAGTACTGTGAAACATTTATTGCTATGGCTACATACATGCATTGAAAAGAGAAAACAAACAAGCAAACTCCATAAGTCTTACTTTTAACACTTGACAGCAGCACTGTATGAATGTTTCTAGATCAATCACATGTTCTACAACTTCGGAAGCGATGACACCATCAAATGTTTCTGCAGCCTCTCCCACAATCTCTTCCAGGGAACACGCTCTGTACTCTATCCTCCTATCCAGGACTGGATCAAATGATTTATGGCGCTGCGCTGTTTTAATGTTTTCATCCACAGGGTCAATTCCAAGAACTGAAGCCCCAAGCCGCCCTAGAGGCTAATGGCATAAAAAAAACGTTACCCACAGAAAGAAAACAGAACACATGTTAGCAATAAAAAGCTGATCAAAAAGGAAACCAGATTAACCACGACGGGATAACTACTGGAGATCATTTGTGGGTACAGGGGAGTTCATCATACCATTTTCTCTAATTTGTACATGTTTGAAAATTTCCAAATAAAAAGCTTAAAAGTGAGAACAATAATCATAACAACAAAAAACTGATCAAGAGCTACTTGAGAATAGTGAAAAAAAGTGTCTACATTCTCTCAGTACATTTATATGCATATACTACAGTACTGACACATTTAAAATGCAATAAATGTAATATATCATAAAAACCACAAAAATTTCTGGTATTCAAATTACCTGAAGAACCATTTTTTTCTCAATAGTTGTTTTCTGTGACTAGTTAGAAATGATTCGTCATAGCTAATTCTTCTTTCAACTTTTATATTCAATCACTTCCCATAACATACCCAAGTTTCTAAACACAGCCTTAATTTTTACCAAAACTTGCATAGCATTTATTTTATAACTTTTTAGTCAATAAGTTTAAAGTATAAATCAAACTGTTTTAACTTTAGAGACATAAGATCTGCAACAATAGACTGAGGAGATTATAGAACACGTATAGTAAAATCTTACTCATTGACAGTTAGATACACTACATATTCATGACTCTAAGGGATGTATTTTCATACATTTTACATTTTCTGAAATGTTATAATTGATATCAGAAGAAACCAGCCCACTGCCACATGAAGAACATGTTTTCTGTGCATGTGGAAACTTAGCTTTGTATCAAAGGCCTCTGTTAGGTGGTCAACTTGGCTGGTACAGACCTAGACAGAAACATCTCATTGAACCTGCTTCACTTAAATATTTATATCCTATTCTGTTGCTTAAAATACCTTTCAAAGATCAGATTATGATACAGTATTGAAATAATATTGTATTCTTATAGAAGAATACAAAATAGAGCTGCAGGACATAAATTTACTATAAGCTAAAGCAAACCTTCGTAGGGAGAAGGAGTTTTCTTCCAAGTACTCTAACGCACCTGAGAAGGGAAGAGCCGCACAGCAGGCAAAACTCTGTTAGGTTTTGATATTGAAGCAGTGCAAACGGACAGCTTATCACAGCATCTAAACCAGTGGAAATTACCTAATCTCCTGGGATGGAAGAGACAATAAAATTTTCAAAGCTATTCAAATGACCAGTGCCTCATATTTGTGTTAAAAAAAAAATCTTTCACTATAATTTTCTGAAATTTTTAAGAAAAAGTAGGTATTCCTTTTATAATTATAAAAATATTAAACACATTAGGCATTATTCAAATGAACAATATTGTTTGTTTAAAGGATAAATGAGGCATAAGCCCATTTCTTAATTTTTTTCCCCCAGTTAAAAATGGCAGGAATGTTGAAAATCACTTACTTCAGTTAACAATCCACCACCACAGCCAACATCAAGAATCTTCATCCCAGACAAAGGTTTTCCTGGCTGGTGATTAGCAACTGTTTTTAAAAGATTGTCTCTTAAAAAAAAAATTCAAAACATATAAAACAGTATTAATTTTATCAATTAAGTCTTAAAAGTGTACAATTTTCAAGAAAACATTAAACTCTCCTTTTAAATGGATTATTAATGTTTTCAGTAAACAGGTCTTTTATTTCAGCATTGATAGAAATGACTAGTTATGTTTAATCTGTAAGATATTTTTAATAATCGAAAGCAAGAGGTTTAAAGTAAAGCTTTTGAATTAACCTAGTAATAATTATGATTTAATTATTAGTTTAGTCGTAATCTAAGAAAAACTTTAAAAATAGTCCAGTTTAGATTAACCCAATTTTATTTGCTTGAGATATCATGTGACTTATTAGCTACAGTGTCAGTATTTGCTATACCCATTTCATGTTTGCAGCCAATAGGTTATTTTACAGGGCTTAGAAGAAGCAAATTGGAAATCTGTATTTTCAGAATTTGCCTATATTCCCTTGCAAATTGAGTCTCTTTCAATATTCTCAGTTAGTGGTGTTTTCATAATCATGTAAACAGGTATCCAAATCAAGTAAACTTAATTCTAAAATAATCATGGTAATACTTTGCCACATGGGCAAACATAAGCACACACACACACGCATGTGCACACACACAGAGACAGATATATTGTAAACTAAACTTTTACTTGGACTATATATGAATTTTAATTATATTTATATTAAAATAAATGTTATACCAGGGTGCCAAAAATGTATACGAGTGGACACTTTGGTCAACATTGCTCAAGCAGTAGTTCGCCATAATCAGAAGTGTCTGGATGCTGATGGTAACCACTTTGAGCACCTCTTGTAATTGCAGGAGTCAAACGTGACTTGTATTCATCTTTTTTTATTGGTATATATTAAGTATTACAATTTTAATAGTTTTTCCCTTCTTAAAATGTGTACACATTTTTTTGGCACAGTGTGTATATAATAAGAATATCTTAGGATATCTTTTATTGCTATTAAAATTAACTGACGTCTAAGAATAACCTAGATAGTGATTAAGCAGATAATTTCAGAATGTTGTAACATACAGAAAGGACCCATTTCAAATGAAGTCCAATCCATTCTTCACACATTGGCCAAAATGATTCCTTTATATCATAATTTAGATCATATCACTTTCCTTCAATGGCTCCCAATTATGCTCACAATAAAATCTAAACTTCTTGGGCTGGCCAAGTGGCTCAGTTGGTTAAGAGCTCGCTCAAGAGTGCGAGCTCTAAGCAACAGGGTCGCCGGTTCGATTCCCGGCCCAAGCTGAGCTGCCGCTGAGCTGCCCACAGGTGACAGGATGGCTCAGCTAAAAAAAATAAAATAAATTTTAAAAATAATAATAAACTTCTAACCATAACTTGTACTGTCTTGTGATATGTTTTAGTGTGATGTTTAAGTGATGGTGTCATGGTAGTTTGAATAGAGTAGTTCTCAAGCTGACAGTATACCAAAGTTATCTGGAAGGTTTGCTAAAACATAGTCTGCTGACCCTCCAAACCAGTAGGTCCAGGGCAAGACCTAAGCATTTTGCATTTCTAACAAGTTCCCAGGTAATACTGATGTTGCTAGCCCAGGGCCTACACCTTGAGAACCACTGATCAAGCCTAACAGAATGACATTTCCCTTTTCTTTGCCATAGTGTTTCAGTGATCACAAATTCAGTGGTAATAAAAAGGTAACAGTATTTCTCTTGTTGCTGTACTAGTTCTGGATGAACCACCAACACCATCAGGAAGCTCCTTGAGGGCAGTCTGAGTTTGATATTCTGTGTCTATTACAGTGCCTTGCCTATGCCATCTGCTCAAACGTGTTTAATGATTAAATGGACATAGGAATGAATGAACAATTTCTTGATAAATGGAGTCTGACGAGCCCTTGCCTTTACCTCCCACGGCAAACTATAAGTTCCTGAAGTACAGGGACTATATTTCAAATGATGACTATCTTTGTAGCTTCTCCAGGGTCTGGCCTCCAAGCTCTATACAAGGTAAGTGCTCCATAAATATTTGCTAAATTGAACCGTCCCAGCAGTATTCACTTTATTAGGACTGTCTAAAGGTCAAAGTTGCTATAAGGTGACCTTGATGCCATAGAACCCTAGTTCCTTTTCATAAGCATTTAATTCTAATTAATCTGATAATGTTCAAAAATGCTTCAAGTTAATTTATGAAAGCAGCCTAGAGCTTGGATATTATTTAAAAATATTATTGGCTTCAAACGATGAATATTGAAGAAAATCTTCCTAATTTCTAAAGCAAACTTAAAATACAGCATTTTGAACCTCAGTATAAAACAAGAGAAAATGAACTCAAAAGAAGAATTATTATTAAAAAGATGTGCATTTTAAGAAAAATGAAAAAAAATAACAAAAACAAACAAAAAAAAGAGTTGCATTTTAAAAGACAGAATTTCTGGAATGTTACCTAATAAATGGCACCCTAAGGTCATTCATAGAATGAAGAGGTGCATATACTCCTTGTTCATCCCACCACCTGTGAGCCAGGGCCAGGAAGGTTTTCACCTCACTGCTGTCTACAGTAGTTTGAGAAGTGCTGTACAGTCTTGTCCAAGGGTACCTAATAGGTCAAAATGAAGAGCCAGGCAAAAAACGCTGTTTTAAAACATGTAACAGGGACATATTATATAGAAAGATTTCTAATTTCTAATTTATTAGATTCTAAATTCCCATTTTTGATGTTTCAAAGCCAAGCTTTCTTATAATCATGCTCCTTATATACATATATAATCACAGATGAAACAGAATTTACTGCTTTCCAAGTAAGTTACAATGAAAATGAAACTATAAAACTTGGCCTTCTGGGTCACATCTAACAACAACAGCAGCAAAAACAACAATAAAAGCAGCCATAGTAGTAACCATTTACTGAGCACTTACTAAATGCCAATACTATTTAAGAACTCCACATATGTCATATGTCATCTCATTTAATCCTCACAGCAACTTTATAAGGTACTATTATCCTTATTACACAGATAAGAAAAGGGAGGCTCAGGGAGATTAATTAAGTGGTACAGCCAGGATTTGAACCCAGGTGCCTCCATCTTCTCTCCATTGGTACTGCCATCATCCAAACCAAGCTCCCATCATCTCTTGCTTAAATTTTGTCCTAGCCTTCGAGTTAGTCTGCCTGTTCCCTACCTCATCTCCCTCAAATCTGTTCTCCACAATGCATCCACTACTCTCCTCATCCTCCCCACTTCAGCCAAAGGGGTCTTGTTTCAGTTTTTTGAACCGCCCATATCTGCTCCTTCCTCACGTACTTTGTACACATTGTTCCCTCCACCTGGAACGTTATTCTCACATTCCCTCTCCCTCCTCTATGCACCTACTTAATTCCTCCTCATCTTTCAGCTTTGAATGGAATGTCATCTAAGAAGTCTTCCCTGATTCTCAAATCTCTCCTATTTTGAGGACTATACAACTTTATACTTCTTCATGGGCCCATGTGATTATTTGATCATGTCTCCCCATTAAAACGTAAGCACTAGGGCTGGCTAAGTGGCACGATGGTTAAGAACTGGCTTGGGACGCCAGAGGGCCCCGGTTCGGATCCCACATATGAGGGCCAGTGACACTGCCCTCCACAGCTAAGATGCTGAACAACAGCTCAACCTGGAGCTGGGCTGCCGTGAGTTGCTGGTGATGGCATAGGCTGCAGCCCCTGCTGCAGTGAGTTGCCATGGGCTACCGTGTGTAGCCAGCAGCCAGCGTGAGCGGCCAGCAGCCGCAGTGAGCAGCCGTCCAGAAGCCGGCGACTGATCTGCCTCGCCCAGGAAGAGCGCAATGATGGTGCCAACTTGGGCCAGTGAAGCAACGTCCTCCACAACTAGACTGAAGAACAAAAAGACAGCAACTTGTCTGTTCCCCTTCCCCCAATTCCCCAGTGCTGTTCCCATCCCCCCAATTCCCCAATGGAAAAAAAAAAATCTTTATAAAAAAAAACAGAAAAAAAAACGTAAGTACTATGAGAGCAAGGCATCGACTGTCTAGGTTACCATTTTATTCCTAGTGACTAGCACAGTTCCTGAAACACAGCTGGTGCTCAGGAAACATTTGTCAAATGAATATTCAGAGGGAGGAGGCCCAGAAAAGTATAATTAACCTAAAAATTTTTTTTTAATCAGATGGAATCAAACAGGGACTAAACAGGCATCAGACAGACAACTACACCAAGTACCAGGTCAAAGATCATGATAGGAAAATTGTCCAAAGGTTCTTGGGTAAAAGAGAATAAGGTTGTTATGTAGGAATAGGTAATGCCATTCAAATTTTCACTGTTTTTCTTAGCTTCATATAATACATTCTATATTGGTTACTTATTATCATCTTAAGAGTTAAATGTCACTTTTCCTTCATATTAATTATGACTATTACCCTCCTTTTCAATATGCAAAATAAAGGACTAACTTATAATAGATAACAGTAGGTGCATGCTCAGTTGACTAAAGAATGATTTCGCAGACATGGAATCTTAAAGGAGCTAGCTCATTTACAAGTAGAAACCTGCACTCATACCTTATCTCTATGCGATATTTTCTGCAGGGTTAGAAATTGGTTTATAAAATAAGAATATAGAAACACATTACTTTGATTCAATCTTACTACCTAAAACATACTTATCCACCTTATCATACTATTTCATTTTGCACCCAAATGATTTATAATTTTAAGCATTATTTGTGTCCTGTCATAAGGATATTGAGGAAGCAAAAAATACTTCTCCAAGTAACAGTCTCATATCTAAAATACAAGTTATCTCTGAATATGGATGAAGGGTATGCACCATATGCTGTATTACATTTTTCTGTGGGTTTGAAATATTCCAAATTTAAACGTTGCTGGAAAAATAAGAATATTTAAATAAATAAAAGCAATATAATCAAACCACATTAGCTATTACTTACTGACAGGGTTTATTAAACACAACCAATACAAAACTATTATTGCACATAAATATGAAAATATTTGCCACAGTAATGGATAAACTTACCTGTAAGTTTTCATTGTATTCAAGCAGGCAAAAGTCATTCCATACGATCTGGACCACGTGATTCTGTATTCTCGAAAAACCCATGGTTTAATTTGTAGAGTCCAACTGAGCTGATTCTCTGAATAAATTGAAAAAAAATTAAATGTCTAGAGAAAGCATTGCACAATAAGAATCTCTACCATGCATGTACTTGAAGAAACTATATTAAAATTGATAAAAGGATTTTTTTCTTAATTTTGGATTTTATTCTAAAATATAAAATAAAGATCTTGCATTCTGCCATGTAACTCTAATCAGACACTTCTGAAATTATAATTAGTAAAAATAAGCAATGCATATTTAAGTTTTTCATGCCATTAGTTTTTACATCCACATTATGCTGCAAAAATTATAAAAAATGAGATTTAAATTAAAACTACATTATCTTTTAAATTAGGGTAATACTGATTCTGAGATTATTTGTCAAAACTAGTTCAAATTCTGTCACTTTCATTTTAGCTACATGAAATGGATTTATACATATGCTCAACACCCTTTGCAGGAGAAAAAATGTCTTATAAATAAACACTCTTCCAGTCTATATGTTCAAACCTAAATAGGGACCTGCTTTATGAACTAATGCTCTGCTGCAGAACATTCAATTGTTCAACAAACATTTAGACAAAGTAGACCTTAGAGCAAAGAAAATTACTATGGAAAATTATTTTGATAAAAAGGAAGATCCACCAAGAAAACAAAGCAATCCTAAATGTGTATGTGCCAAACAGACTTCCAAAACACATGAAGCAAAAGTAGAACTGAGAGGAGAAATAGACATCTACAACTATAGTTGAAGACTTCAACACACCTTTCTCAGTAATTAACAGAACCACTAGGCAAAAAAGTCAGCAAAGATACAAAAGAACTGAACAACACCATCAACTAATATGATCTAATTGAAATTTACAAAACATTTCACCCAAACAAAAACAGGATACACATTCTTTCAAGCATGCATGGAGCACTCATAATGATAGACCATATCCTGGGATATAAAACAAACCTTTACAACGCTAAGAGAAGTGAAATCATATAAAGTATGTTCTCTGAGTATAACGGAGTCAAACTAGAAATAAATAACAGAAAGATAACATGAAAAGAATAAAACTTTGAAATTAAACAATATAATTCTAAATAATCCATGAGTCAAAAACAGTCTCAGGGAAAGAAAACTGAAATAAATTAAAATACATAATGTATAAAATCTGTGGACATAGCTAAAGCAGTACTTAGGGAGAAATTCATAGCACTAAATACTCATATTAGAAAAGACAAAAGATCTCAAATTAATAATCTAAGTTTCTACCTCAACAAATTAGAAAAGAGAGTAAAATAAACCCAAAGCAAGAAGAAAAAAGGAAATAATACTGATCAAAGTAGAAATCAATGGCATTTAAAAGAAAACAAAATAGGTAAGTCAAGTCAAAAGTTAACTCCTTGCAAAGATGAATAAAATTGATAAACTTATAGCAAGGCTGACAAAGAAAGAGGAGACCTAAATTACTAATATCACTAATTAAAGAGGGGATATCGCTATGAAGCCAACAGACATAAAAAGGATGATAAGGGAATACTGTAAACAACTCTACACAGTGAAATTCTACAAATTTAGACAAAATGAACTAATTCCATGAAAATCACAAACTACCAAAATCCATGCAAGATGAAACAGGTGACCTGAATAGTCCTATAACTACTAACGATATTGAATTCATAGTTAAAACCTTCTGAAACATAAATCTCCAGGCTCAGATAGCTTCACTGGAGAGTTCTACCAAACACCTAAAGAAGAAAAAACAAGAAAACAGTAGAGTGAACAATATCTCTCAATCCATTTTATAAAACTAGCTTTACTTTAATACAAAAACCAGACAATGATGGTATAGCAAAGAAACCACAGACCAGTTTTGCTCAGGAACAGACACAAAAATTCTCAACAATTAGTAAATAGTATCCAGCAACATATAACAAAAATACGATAGCACAACCGAGTGGGATTTATTCCAGGTATGCAACACCAGTTCATATTTTAAAAATCAATGTAATTTACCATGTTAATAATCAAAAGAAGAAAAAACACATATTCTTATTAATTGATATGGATAAAACATTTGACAAAAATCACACCCATTTATGACTAAAATTTCTCAACAAAGAATAGAATCTATTTCAATCTATAGAGCATCCATAAAAATCTTGGCTCACGTAGTACTTAATAGTGAAAAACTAACTGCTTTACCCCTAAAATCAGGAACAAGGCAAGAATATCCATTCTCAGGACTCCTTTTCAAAACAGTACTAAAAATTTTAGCCAGTGAACTGAGGCAAAAGAAAAAACAAAAAACAAACAAAACAAAAAAAAAAACCAAGGAAATAAAAGACCTACAAATGGAAAGAAATTAAACTGTCCTTATTTGGGGGAAAAAAAAAAGCCCTTGGAACTAAGATGTGAGTTCAGCAAGGTCACAGATTACAAGGTCAACACACAAAAAAGTCAACTATTTCTATATACTAACAATAAACAATTGGAAAGCAAAACTCAAAATGCTGTGTCATTTAAAATCAGTCCAAAACAGAAAAAAATACTTCCATTGTATAAATAAATTTAAAAAAATGTGTAGGGTCTGTATGCTGAAAATTTATATAAAACACTGATAAAAAGAAATCAAAGACGGGCCGGCCGAGTGGCTCAGTTGGTTAAGAGCTCGCTCAAGAGTTTGAGCTCTGAGCAACAGCGGTTCGAGTCCAGCCCGAGCTGAGCAGCCGCTGAGCTGCCAACAGGTAGCAGGATGGCTCAGCTAAAAAAAAAAAAAAGAAATCAAAGACAACCTAATAAATGGTGAGACATACCGTGTTCATGAATTGGAAGACTCAAATAAATTCTCCCCAAATTGATCTATTTGTTTAACACAATTCTTATCAAAATCCCAATAGCCATTCTTCTGTAAATACAGACAAGCTGATTGTAAAATTTATAGGAAAAGGCAAAAGAAATTGAATAGCTAAAACAAGACTGAAGAAGAAGAAAATTGCAGGAATCACAATAACCAATTTAAAGACTTACCAGAGAACTATAGTAATCAAGATAGTGTGGTATTGGAGAGGGGACAAACACACATATCAATGCAACAGAAGAGAGTCCAGAGATAGACCAAAAAAGTTCACCCAGCTGGTTTTTTTACAATGGTGCAAAAGCAGTTCAATGGAAGAATAGTCTTTTCAATAAATGGTGTTGAAACAATTAGACATTATAGACAAAAAAGAAAATATCAATCTTAATCTCAAATCTTATACAAAAATGATCTCAATATGGATTATTGATCTGAATACAAAACTATGAAACTTTTAAAAGAAAACTTGGGAGAAGATCTTCATGATTTAAGATTAGGCGTAGAGTTCTTACATCTGACACCAAAAACACAACCCTTAAAAACCCTTAAATTGAACTTAGTCAAAATTAAAAACTTTTGCTCTGCAAAAGACCCTATTAGGAAAAAAACAAGTCACAGAATGGGAGGAAATATTTGCAAAACATGTATCCCACAAAGGACTTATATCTGGAATATATAAAAATATTCTTTAAACTCAACAGTATAAAACAAAAAACTCCCATTAAAAAAAAATAACAAGTAATGCAATTATAAAATGGATGGGATACTGTAAAATAGATATAAAAAGACAGGACCATACAAGATATAGAAATGCAAATAAGCACATGAAGAGATGTTAAATATCAATAACCATGAGAGGAATGCAAATGAAACCCACTACATACCTATGAAATTGGCTATAATTTAACCATCCTGATATTACCAAGTGTGGACCAGGATACGAAGCAACTAGATCTTTTATATATTGCTGGTAGGAATGTAAAATGGTACAGACACCATGGAAAGCAGTTGAGCAATTTCCAATGAAGTTAAATATACACTTATCATACAACCCAGGATTTGCATTCCTGCACATTTATTCCAAAAAAGTGAAAACTTCTCTTCACACAAAAATCTGTACACAAATGTTCATAATAAGTTTTTCATCAGAGTCAAAAGCTGGAAACAACCAAAATATCCTACAATAGGTAAATGGTTAAACAAACTGGTGTATCTGTATCATGAAATACTACTCAGAAAACAAAAGGAATGAACTATTAATACACACAATACCTTGAATGGACTTTACGTTGAGTGGGGAACAAGAAACAATTTTTAAAGGTATATACTGTACAATTTCCATTTACATAACATTCTTGAAATGGCATAAATGTAGTAATGGAGAACATATCAGTGATTGCCAAGGGTGAAGGTTGGGGGATAGGGTCTGACTATAAAGGAGTAGTGCCTGGAAATTTCTTTGTGATTATGAAACAGTTCCATATCCTGATTATAATAGTCGTTACACAAATCTTTATGTGTGCTAACACACACACACACACACACACACACACACACACACAATGAGTGTATGTAAAGGTGGTGAAATCCAAATAAGGTCTGTCATTTAGTGAACAGTATCATACTAATGGCCATTTCCTGGCTTTGACAATGTACAGCGGTTAGGTAAGATGTTATCATTGAGGAATTGGGTGAAGGGCACATGGAAATTCTCTGTACTATTTTTGTAACTTAAATTATTTGTCTTAAATTTGTCTTAAATTATTTCTAAATAAAAAATTTTTTAATTAAAAAGTACAAAAGGGAACACTACAAAGCACCTCTCCTATCCTTGACTCTAGTTATCCAGTTTTCCTTTCTGGAGGCAACCAGTGTTACTAGATTTTTATGGAAGCTTCCAGAGATATTTTATACATATATCATTTTGGTATATCAATTTCTTTTATCAAGCTCTCTTATTTTATACAAAATGCAGCACAATATATACATTCTTCTGCACCTTGCTTTTTTTTTTACTTATCAGTGTATCTTAGAGATTTTTTTCTTAATAGAGCATAGCTATCTCATAATTTATTTAGTAAGCAGTCCCCTATTAATGGACGTTTATTTAGGTTATTTCTAATTTCTTGCTACTCCAAAAACATGACTGAATTACACAGGTAATTTCATATATTTTTGAGAGTAGCTGTAGATAAAATCCTAAGAATTGTGTCAAATGGCAAGTGTATTTATAAATTTGTAATTGCCATTCATAGATGTTGAACCTATTTGCAATCCCATGGGGAATATATGATCATTTCTAGCGGTGGTTTCCTTATACTGATAATACATTGATAGTCGCCCTTGCAATGTATTATCAAAAGTTTTTATCTTTGCTAATCTAATAGGTGAAAATACTATGTCAGTGTAGTTACAATTTATCATAAATTAGGTTAAGTATCCAAGGTGATGGTATTAGGAGATGGGCCATTGGAAGGTGATAGGTCATGAGGGCAGAGCCCTCGTGACTGGTTTAGTGCCCTTATAAAAGAGGTCCCAGAGGACACAGCAAAAAGGCTCCATCTATGACCAGGAAGCTGGCTCTCACTAGACTCGAAATCTTGGGCTTCTCAGTCTAAAGAACCAGAAGAAATAAATTTCTGTAATTGATAAGCCAACCAGTCTGTGATATTTCATTACAGCAGTTCAAATGGACCAAGACAAAAGGTTATTTATATTTTGTGTCTTGTCTTTTCGTAGTCTGTTAACATTTTTATCCTGATTTTTCTTGTTTTCTAAAATTTTGTTTTGTTTTTTTAATAGGCCCTTCACACTCTGGCCCAAATCCATTTCAATGTTAAAAAAAAAAAATGGTGCTTCTAGGCTTTTGCTGATGTTATCCTCTCTTCCACCACTTCCAAATTGACTACCTACCTATCTGTACTACCTTTTAAGACCCAGTTCAAATACATCAAGTCCTTTATGACTTTAGGCAGGTAAATGAGATATTATTGGAGAATTACATAAATTATGATACATAGATAAGGATATATAAGGTATTAATATGAAACTGAGCCTCAGAGATTTTAACACTGTCCCTGCGCTCTACTCAGTGATGACCCCTATCTCCCTCTGGACTCCCCTCTCTCTGTTAAATAAGTCCCGCAGTCATCAGTATTGCCAGAATTCTTGACCATAACTGAGAAAAACGAATTGTTTGTACTCATAAATAGAATGCTACCAAGTCCTTCTCTGCCTTGAATCTGTGATCATTCTCGTATTTGAGATTTTAAAGGAATGAGGAAAATTTTCATTTAGTTCAAGTCATTTATCCAGCACCTATCAGGCGCCATGCTGACAGTGGCCAAGACCCCTACCCTGCCAGTATCTTAGTTCCAGGATTCATCGTTTATTATCTGGATTACTCTAAGGCCTGCCTGGGTTTAGTGTTGCCTGCCTCCATCCCACTTTCTACACAGCTGCCAAATGTTATTTCTTAAACACAAGTCTAATTACGTTGCTTCTTCCATAATTTCCTACTGTCCTCAAGATAAAGTCAATCACAGGAGGTGTATGTGGCATTTCATGGCTCTGTCACGGCCTTAAAAGTCTCATCTCTTCCCTTGCCACTCTCCAGCCTCATCTCCAGCCCTCCATCCACACTCTCCTTTTCAAGGAACAGTTTGATGTTTCCCAGAAACCTCCTCGCAGACATTCAAGCTGGTGCTTTGGCTACTCCAACTGCTTCTGCACAACTCTTTCAAGAGAAGCTCCCTAAATATTGGGTTATTGGAAAAGTCATGACGCATTTTTGCAACGAAAAGCATAGAAAAATACGTCATGACTTTTCCAACAACCCAATACTTGTTTAAGAAGTTTCCCTTCCCTAACATGTATCAGGTGCTCCTTCTATGTCAACTCCCCAAATTTGGAAATATATTATATTTTTTTCTAAATTTCTGATTATAAAAGATGTTTACAAAAAGAAAAAATTCCAAAAAGTATATACTGAATGATAAAATAATAGAGCACCAACTCCACCACAGATAATCACTGCTAAAATATTTATGTATCTCTCTATTCACTATATATCTCCATCTATATGTTATCTCTAAGTTCATAATGGATACTGATTTGTAACTTACTTTAACACTATATCCTAATCATCTTTACGTGTGGATACACATTGATTTAAATCACCATTTTTATTGGCAACACTTTTTCACTGTATGAGAGTACAAACTTAACTCTACTGGTGTGCCTTTAAGTTTCCCATTTTTTGCTCATTATATCTTTATCTTAGTTATATTCTAACATTTTTTAAAAGAGACCATTGAGGTATCATTCATTTTTAAATTTCCAGGGCCTGGCATACAGGATTTATTAGTGTTTCATGTAAAGGATGAACTTAAGTTTCTGATTAACACTGTGAATTAAATAAACTGTCTTCTACGAGCATCATGCTCCGTGCGTTATTTTCGTGATCTTTGTTAATACAGTCTGTTGAATTAACCTATTAATCAAAAAGCAGTATAGCTGCCTTAAATTCTTTCTGATAAAAGGCAAGACAAGTGCAAACAAAACACAAATACAACGCTATTAATAACTAGGAGACAGCAGCTGGTGTGCCTGCCGCGGCAAAGGAAGAAGGCACACGACCTTGAGGCTCTGGCCGGCACACAGTGGTCGCCAGCTCCAGGGGCACTCAACCAAAATGAGACAAAGGCCGCTGGATCTATGGCGGGGGTCCGCGGGCAGCGCTCTCCTCGGCCAGACCACAAGCCTCAGCTATTCTTCCTAGCCTCTGGGAAGGGGCAGGCGATGACCCAGGCCGGCTGTCCATCGGACAGCGAGGGCAGAGAACGAAGAGAAGGGTCTTGCCCTGACCCCGCGGGGAACCCAGTAGCAGCCAGCCCGCCAACCTCTCCCGCGCGTGCGCATAACAGCTGGTCCGCACGGTGGGCTGCGTGCGAGGGGATCTCCGCACCCATACTCACCCGCCGAGGAAGTTAAGCGAGGGCAGCCAGCCTGTGAGGCCCGATACCCAGACCTAAGCACTCCTAAAAAATGACTCCCGGAGGAGCTGAGCTTGCGGGCTCCCAACATCGCGACAGGAAGGATCCGTGTCTTTTCCGGTCCCTCCCGTAAAAGATCCCCAACAGAAAGGTTCCGAGGTCTACTCTCGCACCATCAGGAGCCTACCTAAGCTCGGTTGTATTAATGGGTGTTGCAATTTATGACTAGAAGTTACTCTTCACGTTCCACAGCCGTTAAATTGTGTATGCAATTAAACTATAGAATGCTTCCATTATCATAAACTTCAAAATCCTGTTATGCCTATCCCTATATGACTAGCATCTCAAATCTCTTGGTCAAAGTAGCCCTCTATCATGCTTCTACTTCATGCTATGTAATCTAGCTTTTAGTTCCTGTAGCTCGACTTCATATTTAACAGACACATTTAGGTGTCTCCTAAGAGCATTTATACTCCTGTAACACTAATCCTAATTTAGAACCACAAAAGCATGGAAGCACTTCTTCTCTAAGGGTAGAATTGTATCCCATTTCAAGGTACACACGTCACAGGACCAGAAGTCTAAATTTGAAGTTTTCTGCAAGTAACCTAATATTCTGAACGGGGCATATATTATATAGGAGGCTGTTAATTACTCAGACTAGGCAAACTTTATTTACAGCTAGAAAGGTAATCAGTAACATTTTACTTCTATGTAAAAGCCTTTCCTTGGGTAAAAACAATAATAAATTTCCAACAATCATTGTACATTTTCAGCAGGTAGGGTCAAATTGGTAAAGGGTTCTTTGAATTCGTGAAATTTACTGCTCAGTAATGGTCTTTCACTTATGGCTTCTTGGTAAACTATTGACCTCCTTCTAAGAGTTGTTGCAGGCTTTTCAGTCTTCAGAGCTCCTGTCAAGATGGCAGAAAGCTCTGCACAAAAGTACATTTAGTATATTTGTTGGAGTGACAGATGCAAGGAAAAAACAAAGTGCAAGTATGGTTAAATGAATTTCTAAGAGCTTTATTTAAAGGTATTTTCTTTGAATGTACCACCTCCCTGGGCTTTAGGCCCTTCCCACTACATTTTCGGTTTAACAAAAGCAATCAGTAATTTGTTTTAATTCCAACAGGAAACAAAGGTGTCTTGAATACCCACTAGTTTGGATGAGCAAAACCAGTTCATAGTATTATTCTCTACAGGTATCAACAAAAGGGTTTTCCAATGACACTTAGAAATCTGAGTTGTGTTAGCAAGACTAGCAACTGGAATGTGGCATATGACCATTGTTGGTTATTTCCCAGACCATCACTATGGTCTCACCCATAAATCCGTTGTAAACTAGTCTACAATTTATTTTGCTATAAAAAACTAAGTCTTTAATGTTTTAAAATTCAATTTTATAATTTTTATATGAATTTTTTTCATTCAAGTTAAGGGTACAGTGCTCCTTTACAGCTAACAGCTTTACTCCTTTGAAATGATACATACATTACTACATCCATTCAGCGTTTAACTGGTAAATTTTCATATTTATAAAATTTCATATAAATTGTTAACAGAATTATTAGAATGTTATCTTAATATAATGAGAATGTGGCAGATTTAACCTCTATGCCTAATAAACCCTATGGTATAAATGTAACTCATCATGCCTGAGGTATTTTAGGGCTAATAAAAATCCCATCTTCCCATCTAGGTTTAGACTGAAAACCAAGTTCTACTTAAAATTGAAGAACTTAAGGGCTTGAAGTGTTCAAAACCTTGGAGATAATCTAATCCCACCCTTATATAGCTGAAGAAATTAAGGCCCATAATGATTAAGTGATTTGCCCAAAATACTAGAAGCAGAACCAGGAGAATCCAACAAATCCAATGCTATATCCATTAAACCATGCTTAGTACCATTTTAGAAACTTCACTAAAATTGATTTTAACGTATAAAAGAAAAACTCAGTTTGAATGAAAAGGTTTCCATAAAACATTACAGGGACTTTGGACATCATATAATTCCTATGTAAAATTCCCATATAAAAAAAATCTCTTCCACTAATTAATTACACATTATGTACTTCTTTGAAGAAACAGAATGAATAACTCAGACACTAAAAAATAGACTATGTTTGGGAAATTGACCTATTGTGTATTTATACCATTAGAAACAGATGCTAAAAAGACATTTTACAATGGCAGAAAACATATACACTGAGATTCCACACCAATCTTTATTTATATTTTGGGGCCTGAAACAAGTTTTATAATTACCTTTTCCAAATTACATTTTATTCTCTTACTGGTGTGGTCTACCCCCATTCCACAAAAACAAGTATGATTAACACACTAGAAATATTTTTTTAAAGAACCTCTTAAGACAGTTTTTATTAACCAATCCAGACCAATGATTGTCTCAAAAAAATGAATCTATTAATTTTCTGGCGGTGTCATTTTAGAAAACTTTATAACCAAATTATACATTTAATTAACTTATGTGTTTTTAGCATTCACATCCCAAATCATGGAAGCCCTATTTTGTAAAATCTTACCACTCAAGGTAAACATACTTCACTTCATTACATGTCAATGAAATGATGAATTGTCTAAATTATCATAAAAATCTGAAAAATCCAAATATCTAATTATAACACTAATGTATCTACTAATAATCACATACATGACTGTGTTTTTAAAAATATCTACAGATTTAAATGATAAGCTTGCATATTATGGCAGCAAAAATAAAACTGTCAAATACTATTTTTGGCTAGTTCATATCTTTCCCAAAAATGTGCATATCATAGCCAGAATTTTTCTGTAGAATTTTATTTTGAAAATATTATTTCACTTGAAGATTGATCTAAAAAACATTTTAAGATATGAAAATGTTACACAACTTATCTATTACAAATTAACTGGATAATGAATTCTGCAATTAGGTATACTGTGTTAGCTCCACCTACATAAAAAATATTGCACACTTTCCTTTATTATATCCAGATGTGACTGAGGTCTAAACTATATAGAATTCCAAACTATTTCAAAGTTATTCTGTGAAATGTCAACTTGATAAATATCAGAATTAAATGCACTGTAAAACAACCATTTTGGTAAACATGCATTTATTCACAGTTGATTTCCTCTAGATAAATGCATAACTGCTCAAAATTATTTAAGAACCTATGTAGAGATACAAGAACACACTATACAAATCTATTTCTACCTTCATTTTGAGGAAACACTGACCGTGGCAAAGATCTGGCTTATTTTATTTTTATGAATTTTTTTAAGTTTATTTGAGCCAAACTGAGGACATATGCCGGGAGCAAGATTTCAAATGCTCCCAGATCTGGCTTATTTTAAAATGAACTATTGCTGGTAAAAAGACATATTTGAAAACTTTTCTGCGACCTGCACCTGCTCTTTTTTTAAATTAAAAATTAAAAGCATTTGTTTTCAGAGATTTATCTGACTACTGTGGCATAAGTGCACAATCACATAAAAATAGACCCTGAAAGCAGTTGAGCACTTAAATGCCTGTAGAGCCTCATTTTACTATTAAGTTATGACTGCCTTAAATTGCTGGACCATTTTCTGAGCATAATTTTAAGAAACTGACAAAACCAGACCATTTCAGTGTTATGAAACTGACACACACCTGCATAATACAGCATTCCTCCACTGAGCTGAGGTCATATTATACTTTAAAAATATAAATAAATGTACTGAATTGTGAGTCTTTCTATAATAACCCCAAAGAGTTTAAAATATGCTTCTAAAACAGAAGTAGGTAACTGCAGAATATAGCTCCAGACTTGAATATTAGTGTCAAACACAATCATTCCTTATAAATAACTCTATTTAGTTGCGTGGCTTGATTGATTCCAGCAATTTCATTTTACAGGAGTGTACCATACTTTATACACACAGAAAATATATTACTTGAAAATTCCCAAATTAGGAATAGTTTAGAAAGATGTTGAATGCTTCCAAATGAAAAGTAAAGGTCTGTTTCTGGCCCTCTTCCACACCCTTAAAATTGGAATTTGACAAAAATCCATGGGTACAATTTACAAACTTTGACAAACTATTGAAATAAAACCATTTTCTTTGGGGGAGATAAGAGGAAGTACCTTTAAAACTTGTTATACAAAATTCCAGCTGCCTTTTTATAAAAGTACGTTCCTTAGATTAAAATCATAAAATTAAGGTGCAAGAGGTTAACAAAAATGAACTAAAGAGCTTTATTGACATCACAGTACATTCAAGAATAATGTTAAGAACATTACAGCTGAAAGAGAATGGCATGTTTATAGTCTTATTATGCACTATTATTTGGAAAAAAAAAAAGTAATACAAAGAAACCTTAAGTAACTCAGAGCAGCATTTGGAAAAAGTACACCTATTTACAGATTAAAAAAAAAAGTTTCTGGTTTCACCTACACAGCCACAATGTGCCTCTATAATGAGACAAGCCCTTAAAACTCATGGAATTTTTTTAAACATCATGGCATTCTTGCCACATCATTCCTCAGCGTTTACGACGGGGAGGGGTTGTTGATCTGAAAAAAAAAGGGAAAAGACAAAATTTAAAAATAAAAATGTATTTTAAACTACAGAATCTGCAATTTTTAAATAAATAATATTAGATAGGATATCTAAAATTACTTAAGACTATGATCATTTATCAAGTACCAAATTGAGTTTATTAAAGAGAGAGAGAGACAGGACACTTTCAACTTTGAATAAATTCAAATTTTTTAAAAAATCAGACAAAATACTTTAAAAAGTATACTACCTTGATCGGGACTTAGACTTGTGTTTGCGGCTTGCCTTCTTACCAGACCTTTGAGATTTCTCCACGGATCGCGATCGACTATGTTTAGGCTTCTTAGCCTTCTTTTCTTTGCTACTTCCTGGAGATTCAGAACTGCTCCTTCCACTAGAATCAGAGCCTGAATGTTTTTTACTATCTTTGGTAGTACTTTTTTTACTATCCTGTCTAGAATCATGTCTGATAATTTTAACAGATATAGAACCACTCCTAGAGAATGTTCTTTCACTTTCTCGTTTCCTTTTTAACCTATCATCCTGACCACTGAACTTAAAGTCTTTTTCTTCCCTTTTTTGTTTCTCTTTTCTTTTATCCTGTTCACGCTCCCTTTCTTTGTCTTTCTTTTTCCTATCTTTATCTATACTTCGACTCCTCTCTTTTTTCCTTTCTTGTTCTTTAGCCTCACCTTTATGTTTATGACTGCTTCCACTAAGATTTCCACGTTGATCATCAATTTTACGCCTATCTCGACTCCTACTGCGACTGGACCGATTGATTCGCCTATCCCTTGAGCGACTTCTACTTCTACGTCTGTCTCGGGAAGGACTCCGATTTCGTCGTCTTTCTCTTTCAATGCTATTTCTATTAGATCTCCTCCTATCTCTAATCTTTACTCTAGCCCTACTGCTATCTATTTTAATTCTGCGAGAATAACTTCTACTTCTACTACGTCTAGCTTTAATTGTTAGAGATCTACTCCTACTATGTCTCTTTTTCCTTTTAGGAGAAGAAGATCGAGAAGATGTGCGACTACTACCTGAGCTAGAACTGTATGAAGAGCTAGAGACAGTACTACTAGTACTGCTAGTTCTGCTATTGCTACTGGAACTACCACTACTAGAACTTCCTGATCGACTCCTTCCTTGTTTCTCTTTTTCTTTATGTTCTTTTTTTGGTTCTAAAACTGACGTAGTTTCATTTGGAGTTCTTTTCTTTTCATTAACCATATCACCGTCTGCTTCTCTTGCTTCTAGTAGTGATAAACTATTTTGCTCTTTATGGATAAATTCATTCATCTCTTTTGTAACCCTTTCAGTTTGTTGCTTTTCTTCTGAAAAAGAAAAAGACAAAAATGTTAAGTCAAATGTACAATGAAAACTCCCATACTACCAAATTTCAAGCTACTGGACTATAACAATAGAGCAAGCCACAAAAGCAATGCTAAATTTTCTAGTGGCTACATTGAAAAAGTAAACAAAAACAGAATTAATTTTAACATTTTATTAACCACTATATGAAAAATATTATCATTTCAACATGTAATCAATTTTAAAAGAATACTGAAATACTGTTTTTTTGGGGTTTTTTTCCAACATGAAGTCTTTGAAACCTAGTGTGTATTCTGTATCTACAGCACATTTCATTTTGGGCCAGCTACATTTCAAATGCTCAAAAGCTATATTGAGTTAGCTACCTTCCTGGACACTACAGCCATACAGTATCGAAGTGTAAAGGTACATGTGAGGCAAGTAAGGAAAATTTCCCTTTTATCCAAGGCAATTTGAAGGTAAATATGTAATTTATAGGGGATTTTTGGCTGCTAACTCTTATTACCTTTCATATTGGCCAAGCAAGATTTTTTTCAAAGAAGAAATTCTAAATGAATATTCTTTTGTTATCCCTAGTATTATGTAAACTGTTAAGTACTGTACTCATTCATGTACAGTATTTTACATATAAAACTTCTAAGAACTCTATTATCCTTAAATACCCTAGCTATGGATTAAATATCCTAGCTACAAATTACTTTTCAATAGTTTCACAAATGTATTTTATATATTTCTCCCATTTCAAAAATCATTTCATTTTAAGAACTTTAACAAGAAATATAAATACATTGAAATAGCTTAACTAGCGACTACTGGAATTAATGTCTCCCAAAACACAAGCTTACCTTTTATAAACTATGTATTTTGAATACAATTAATTTTGATTTTATGTTTGATGAAAATTGCAAATGATCCAAAAACTGTAGTTTCAGATATATCACATGTTATTTATAATCTAGTCTTCATTCTATCCTTTGGTATTTTAGGTTGGTTGAAAAATGAAAAGAAGTACAAACAAAACTGGACAAAAATTAAGTGAGTCTACAAATATACCTTCCATCTGTTTATCATGTAACAGCTGCTGTTCTTTTTCTTTTCTCCAAAAAGCTTCCTGTTTTTGCCGGATTCGGTGCCGTAATTCCTCATCATCAGTGTCAGATGACTCAGAGCCTCTGTCACTCCTTTCATCTTCACTATCTCCTGATCCATAACCACCCAGTCCACCTGTGTGCATAAAGCCCAGTCTATCATATGGAAAAATTATTGTATGCACTAAAAACTTTTTAAGGTCCGAGAAGAAAGCTCATTTCTTTTTTCACTGCATTTTCTTGGGAGAATATGCTTATTCGGGGTGGGGAGAAGTATAAATTCCAATGCTTAAAGAGTTCAGAGAAACCTCAGATAATTGATACTTAGTATCTTATTCTTTCTGGAATATTTGAAATATTTCTCACCATAAAGGAATCGTCATAATGGTTTTGTTTTACTGTCCATGTTAACCAATAAAACCATTTATCAGGGCAGTAATAAAGCCTCACTTAAGTATAATAAATTCAACTACCTTAAAATTTATGATGATCCTGAAAACATTTCTAAAATTAACTTTTTTGCTGTTCAAAGCTTAGGAATCCCACATAGTAAGCTAAGTATTTTTGCCCTAAAATAACAAGAATACTATCTTCTGACTGATACAGAAATAGTATGGTGCTAAAACTACTCCCCACCCTGAAGTGATCTAAACAATAATAGTAACAAAATCACATGGGCATTTGGTTCTACCCATTTCTGTTGATCCACACAAAGATTAATTTGAAATGAAGATGTGGAAAAGGCAAATTCAAGCTTCTATATAATTGATAATATATCATGCAAATAGCAAATTATGAACACATCACTACAACTATGATATGATAAAATAAACTCTTTCCTCTAGGGTAAACTTGACTTGCTGCAACACGATCTAAATAAAGGTCCTTAAAGCATTAGTGGATAGATTCTTCTCTAAGGCATGTATGCAATAATTTTGAAAGTGAGTTTAAATACTATCATGGCTAAATTGTAACTACTACCACTTGCCCCAATAAGCTATGAATTAGTCACCACATTTATAATAATGCCACTGTGAATGCTTTAATAAAAAAAAAATAGGCAAACCTTTTAGAGACTGATATAACCCTAAGACCTAAGATTTATAACCTGAGAAGGAATAGTACAATTTCAAAACAGAACATGTAGAAAGACAAGGTAAGTGTGATTTTCCCTTTAAGGCCCTCTTACAAATAAGGAGAACACTTACCGAGTCCAGTGAGGGAAGCCAGTGCACTGGACTGTGCCAGCTGTTTTGCAGGAGCTTTGTATCACATCAACAACAGGAACAACATGTTAACACAAATAGCCACGATTTCATAGTCATGAGAGTCTACGGTATTGTTAAATCTACTACTATTGCTGCTTTTTGGGGAGAGAAGAAACATTAAAAACATAACATTCATTTTAAACCACTAGCCTGTCTGGCCTTGAAAGTATAATTCTGTTGTGAGTTGAAATTAGTTTATAATGAGGAAAGATGTTTACAGTATATTGGTATTTTTATTTTTGAGGTATGGCCCATAATTTAAATTTTGCTTTCAATATATTTTTTAAATGTTACTAAAAAGATGGGGCTGGGTGGGAGAATCACTTGTTTCTGTAAGAATTATAAATGGTAAACTCTGAAAACTCTGAAGGTTCATAATTCAATTCATTAGTCAAACTAAATTGCATTAGAAGTCATATACCAATACCATAATATCTATTAAAAAAAATCAGGTGAAATAAATTGAACATCAAGAATTTTCCACAATACATTTTATAGAATAGCATAATTTGCTAATTTGTGCTCAGGTTGGTTGAATAAAACAAAAATATTTGTATAGTTGTAACATGGTGTCTCCAAATCTAATCTGTCCCAAAGAGTTAAAACATGCAAGAAGAGAATATTCAAAATATCTGCTAGTAATTCAACAAGGACAACAAAAAAAAAGTCCAAAATAGCCACCAAAACCAAAATACCCCCAGAAAAACAAAACCAAGAACACCCACAATATACCTTTCGTTGCTTTCCGGTGTGCATCTTTGGCTACATAATAAATTTCTTCATCTGTGACATCCAATAGAATTTCAGTCAGAAGCATTTTTGTCAGCAACATCTAAGGAATATATATTGTTTCTATTTATTAGAGTTATTAATAGTTTGACATTTACAAAAAAATTAAAAGGCAAGGCAATTTTATAAAACATTTTTAGAGATGAAATCAGAGCAGCCATTCCAAGGAACAGAGTATCTTGAAAATTATTCTAAAATATCAAAACTTTAAAAAATTTCAAAATCATATGGATTAAAGAAAAAAATGAGTTTATCTGTAGACAATGAACTCTAACGTTAGTGACAAAACATTAAAATAAAGTCCCTGTTAATAAAAATTTCCATGGGTGTTTTAAGTTGAACAGAGTATCTCTTCATTTAATAATATTAATAGTAAGCAGAATAACACTAGGATTTAAATCACCTAGGAAATTGCTCAGCTCAAGGTAAAATTTGAGGGGGAAAAAAAAAAAGGGAAAAAGGAAAAGGCAGTTATTCCATTCTGTCAGATGAAGTCCTTTTTCTCCTCTTGATTGCTGTAATAGAGAGTACAACAGATATGAAATAGAACTGGATTCTAGCACTGGTTTGGCTACCAACAACTGTTTCAAATGTCGACTATTAGTCCCTTAGCCTTCTGGGCTCCAGATTACCAGTACACTGAATCAGCATCTTCTAAACACATCCAAAGATCACTGGTCTTTCAAGATGAGAAATGCAGCATATTATATTCTCGATCTCAGAAAATAGCAATACACATAACAGATAATAAAGGCTCTGAAAAGTCCTGCAAGGAAGAAATGTTTACCTGTGTTCCATTTAGTGCTTCATAAACTTATTTTTCTATAAAGTCTTTAAATCTTTCTCAGTATTCAAATAAACACACTTTAGAAAATAACAGATCAAGACATGTTGTCTGGGGTCTTATATTAGGAAATTTGCTTAATAACTGCTTTATAAGCTCTGGTTTCACATTATAAGCATTACCTGGACTTTGTAGACATTACTGCCCAACAAACTATATATTAACATATATTTTATAACTGTTTCATGAGTTCTCAGTTTAAATATTTAAGATAGCCAACCCAATAGTCCAAAAAATTATAAACAAAATAAATCCTGCAATATAGTGAGTGTCATATGCCAACCATACCTCAAAAAAAATTTTTTAATTCAATAACAGGAATTTAATGTTTTACCATTTGATAATCTTTCTCTTCTTCAGTCATCTCTGGTTCACTTTGCTCTTCTTGAGGAACTGGAGATGGACTTCTGGTGACTTTCCCACTGCTTGCCGCCTCAGCATTTTCAGTGTCTTCATCTTCCTCATCACTATCCTAAAACAGTAATCGTATGGGTAGCCCAAGTTCATGCTTATAATGTAACATCATTATCTTACATATTCTATTTTAAACCCCCAAATTAAAAAGTCGATGAAACAGGACTGGCCGAGTGGCTCAGTTGGTTAAGAGCGCGAACTCTGAGCAACAGGGTCGCCAGTTCGATTCCCAAAAGGGCCAGTGACGCTGCGCCCGAGCTGGGCTGCCGCTGAGCTGCCAACAGGTGGCAGGACGGCTCAGCTGGTGAGAACACATGCTGCTAACAACAAGATTGCAGGTTTAACTCCCACATGGGATGGTGTGCTGCGCCCACCTGCAACTAAGATTGAACATGGCACCTTGAGCTGAGCGGCCGGGAGCTGCCATCAGACAACCGGATGGTGACTGGACTTGGAGCTGAACTAGTTGCACCCTCCACAACTAAGATTGAAGGACAGCAACTTGTCTGTTCCCCTTCCCCAATTCCCCAACACTGTTCCCCTTCCCCAATTCCCCAATAAAATCTTGAAGAAAAAAAAATCTATGAAACAGATGTATAAAAATGAAATTTCTCCCTAAATTATATTTTTGTACTACAGATTTCACTTGGTAATTTAATGTTATTACCTACCTGAGAGGAAATGTAAGATTACAAGAAGGCTTATGAGAATCAATTATTTTAATCATTTTTCAATTTCCATTTTCCCTTAGTCAATCTTGACCTTATTTTATAAATATCCAGAAACATATCATACCCAGAAACTGATTTTATTAATATCCATTATATATGATGGTTGAAATGAGCGGCTTGTAGAATTTTGCATAAATGGACCACTCATATTATTCAGTGCTGCTTTTACAGCTATAAATTTAAGCTATTTACCTAAAAACGCATGACTTAAAATGAAAAATCTGTAGTTAGTTTCTAGATCTCAGCTGGTCCTGAAACTTAATGAAGTTTGCATCTTTTTAGCTACAAGAATCAGACAGATAAGAAATGAGGTCTATTTCAGATGGAGGAAATGCCAGCAGTTTGTCTTGGTCCCTGTATGGGTGTTAGGTTTTCAATATCCAGACAGTATGCCTTAAAAGGGGGACTCTACATTACGCAAATAAGTATTCCATAGTCTTAGCAATCCTAACAAGTAAAAGACAAGGTGATCACCTAAATACTACTACTATGGAAAGACCATTTAAACCAGAAGAATTTGTGTAACAAAGGCCCAAAAGCATTTGTAAGAAGGAGGATAACCTCCAAACATTTTTTTTTTTTAAACACTTAAAAAACTATCAAGGGCCGGCCGAATGGCTCAGTTGGTTAAGAGTTGACTTAAGAGCATGAACTCTGAGCAACAGGTCTGCCGGTTCGATTACCACATGGGCCAGTGATGCTGTGCCGGAGCTGAGCTATCGCTAAGCTGCCAACAGGTAGCAGGACAGCTCAGCTGGTGTAACAAGATTGCCTGTTCGATGGGTGGGCTACTTCCACCCACAACTAAGACTGAACTCGGCACCTGGAGCTAAGCTGCCGCCTGGGTGGCTCAGTGGATAGAACGTGTACTCTTAACCACAAGGCTGCTGGTTCAGCTCCCGCATGGGATAGTGGCTACACCCACCCGCAACTAAGACTGAACACAGCACCTTGAGCTTACAGGTCACGAGCTGCCGACAGGAAGCCAGATGGCGACTAGCGCCCTCCACAACAAAGATTGAAGAACAACTTGGCTGGTCCCCTTCCCCAATTCCCCAACACTGTTCCCCTTCCCTAATTCCTCAATAAAATCTTAAAAACAACAACAACAAAAAACTATCAAATCTGGAAACCATTATTTCATGTAAAGATTTAAAAATATATTTTTAAGGTAAACTTTAATCATGGTAGTCAGTAGTTATCTTGCCATCCTTGCAACTTATGAAGCAGAAAATGGCCTTGGGAGGAAGACCCATTTCCTGAGTTGCACACTGGCCAGTGCTGTGGCTGTTATATCAGCTGAGCACATTTTTGCTAAGTAAAAAATGTCCTAAGCTGTTTATGCCATTTATCTGATGAATATGTAAATATTTAAAACTTTGTTACTTTCAGTGCTCAAGTCAAAAACTATGAAAGTTATTACATCCTCTGGCATAAGTATATATTTAAATGTTCAAAAAGGGCAGATTTAGGGCCGGCCGAGTGGCACGATGGTTAAGAACTGGCTTGGGACGCCAGAGGGCCCCGGTTCGGATCCCACATATGAGGGCCAGTGACACTGCCCTCCAC